TTGTTTCGATATTGTAAGGCTGGACAACTCCTAAACTGATATGATTCTTACATTTGTGTTTGCATGTCTGGATCGAGGAAAAGCTTAGACAGTGAGAGATGTGTGGGATCCACATGTTTTCTGGGTAGGAGGGCAGAAGTCAGTGAAAGCAGACCTGCTCACCATCAGGGCATTGCTGTGACTTTATCCTTGAGGGGTAAAAGGTCACTGAGTAGAACAGAAGTGATTGTCTGGTGGGTTCAGAGTATCAGGGTTGACTGGAAATACAGTACCTACTGCTAAAAAAAGCATTGATGACCAGTGAAAAATTACAAACTTTATCTTATAATGAATGAGATTGCTTCACCCAATAATTGTAATGTGTACATTTATCTAAAATTAATTTGCAAATAAGTTAATTCTGTCTGTTTATGCTTGTTTTCAGCTGTAGTTTGTTTTTATTTTTAATATTTATTTATTTATTTATTTATTTATTTATTTATTTATTTATTTATTTATTTATTTATTTATTAGTTTCTTTGCTTATGTGTTTGTTTGTTTTCTAGTCTAATTTAGTAATTAACGATCAATTGTAAATTACTTGAATTAGTTTTGTTCATTATTTTCTTTGTGTTTTGATTTGTTGACATTTAGTTTTGTTGCTGCTTTGTTTCGTTTTGTTGCTGTTTTGCTTTTGTTTTGTTGCTGTTTTGTTCTGTTTTGTTTTTGTTTAGTTGCCGTTTCATTTTGTAGCGTTTTGTTTTGTTGCCTTTTTGTTTTGTTGCGTTTTGTTTTGTTGCCATTTTGCTTTGTTTCCGTTTTGTTTGTTTTGTTGACGTTTTGTTTCTGTATTGTTTGTTTTGCATCCGTTTTGTTTGTTTTGGTGCTGTTTTGTTGCCGTTTTGTTTGTTTTGTTGCCGTTTTGTTTCTTTTGATGCTGTTTTGTTTCCGTTTTGTTTGTTTTGTTGCCGTTTTATTTGTTTTTGTGCTGTTTTGTTGCTGCATTTTGCCATTTTGTTTTGTTTTCTTGCCATTTTGTTGTCTTGCCGTTGTTGTTTTTGATTTGATTTCTTGCTATTTTGTTGTTTTTATTGCCGTGTTGCTTTTGTTTGCCATTTTGTTTTTGTTTTGTTGCCGTTTTGTTGTTGTTTTGTTGCTGTTTTGTTTTGTTGCCATTGTTTTTTTGCTGTTTTGTTGCCATTTTGTGGCTGTTTACTTGCCATGTTGTTTTTGTTATTGCTGTGTTTTTTGTTGCTGTTTTGTTTTTGTTTTGTTTGTTGATTGAGTTTGGTTTGTTTTAGGTTTGTTTTAGTTTTGTGGGAATGCTAACAAATTGTTTTAGCTCGATCACATACTATATTTCTGATAAACAAAATATGAGCATCAAATTTAAATTTGTCAAACTCTTAGCTTATGCCAAACACAACAAATAAAACTTATGTATTCAACATGTAAAGTTATGTATTCATTACGTGGATCTGCATTAAAAAAACTCCTCAGCGTTAAGCATACAAGCTCTCTCATCAGAGTCAGTGATCGCCGTGAGAATGAGCTGTTGTTTTGAGTTTGCTGGATTCTGGGTAACACCGTGCCGCTCTGCTGTAGTAAGAGATCGGCGTGCTCAATAATTCAGCCTGCTAATGAATGTTGCAGGGGCAGATGTGGGACCAAACCTCCTCTAATCGACAGCTTATGGCGTTGGACCCCAGTGTTTGCTTTCCACGGCTGCGGTTGATTGACAGGGGAACATACAAAATGCATGTACGTCATGCATGCATCCAGCTAGCATTTCAGGGTCTGTCTCCAGCCTTTGACCCTCTGCTCTCTTACTGTAATGAGACGGTGCATGAAGAAACGTCATGCTTATGTAAAAGTCCCATAAAAGCTGCTGTTTCAGGATCAAGGTGTGGTTGTGACTGCTACTGCATGTGTTATTGATATTTGATGACATGTCTGCAGTATACTGGGTTCAGCAAACGGTCAGTGTGAACATTGGTTTAAAAGTGATTGTGCGATTATTGTAAGCATTATTATTGGGCAGTAATACTGGATGACAATGCAACTATCCAAGTTTTAGGAACAAAAAAATAATAACTTGACTTCTAGATGAGCATTTGGAATAGGATGTGGCTTATATGAAAGGCAAAGGCCTCTAGATTACGCTCATTTGACCAAAATAAAATATGATCATGCCTTGATTTTTAATGATTTAATTAGGACAGTAAGGTCTGATTTTGCTTAGACAAAAGTCCTGTCACTTAACAGAAATACTGTATAGAATATAAAGTGATGATGCAGTGGAAAAAGAGCTAATATTGTGTTTAACTCCAATGAGCTTGGAGGACTGCATCCATACATCTCTGCAATGACTCAAATAATTTATTAATAGTCATCTGGAATGTCAATGAAAGCGTTCTTGCAGGACTCCCAGAGTTCATTAAGATTCTTTAGATTCATCTTCAATGCCTCCTTCATCTTACCCCAGACATGCTTAATAATGTTCATTACTGGTGACTGGACTGGTCAATCTTGGCACACCTTCTTTGCTTTTAGGAACTTTAATGTGGAGGCTGAAGTATGGGAAGAAGCACTATCCTGCTGACTCCTGTGGTTTGCAATGTAATGGGCAGCACAAATGTCTTGATACGTCAGGCTGTTGATGTTGACATCCACTCTGCAGATCTGCACGCCCCCATACTGAATATAACCCCAAACCATGATTTTTCCTTTGCCAACTTGACTGATTTATGTGAGAATCTTGGGTTCATGTGGGTTCCAACAGGTCTTCTGCAGTATTTATGATGATTGGGATGCAGTTCAACAGAGGACTCATCTGAAAATCTACCTTCTGCCACTTTTTCTAGTGATTAAGTAGAAGTCAAGTTATTATTTGTAGCACTTAAAACTGGGATCAATGACAGGCCTTTTTCAGGTGTATGCACACACTTTAATTTGTAAAAACATGTCTGAAAAGCTGTGAGGTAATATAGAATAATAATTTATTTTAGAATAAATAAATGATATGAAGTTCATATTCTCAATACGTTCTCTGACTGTGTCTAATTAGACATTATAAATGACTTATGTCTGTTTGGTTGTTTTGACTGACTGTGTTTTAATGGACCATGTTCTTTTAAAGTGTTCTGATTATCCATGTTCTGATTGGCCGTGTACTGACTGACTGTGTTTTGATTGACTGTGTATTGACTGTCTGTATTCTGACAGGCTGTGGTCTAATTGGCTGTGCACTGACTGACTGGCCATGTTTTCTGAAGGAATTCTGAGTACTGGCTGTGTTCTGATTGACTGTGTATTGATCGCTTGTATTCTGATTAGCCATGGTCTTATTGACAGACTGTGTTCTCATTGGCTGTGTACTCACTGACCGGCCCCGTTTTGTGACTGCATTCTCAGCAGCTGAGCACCGAATGCGTTCTGATTGGCTGCATACTAACAGACTGTGTTCTGATTGACTGTATTGACTGGCTGTGCTCTGATTTACTGTGTTCTGACAGGTTGTGCTTTGATTAGGTGTATACTGACTGACTGGCTGTACTTTTTGGCTGTATCTTGATTGGCTGTGTACTAACTGACTGTGTTCTGATTGTGACTGTTTTGACTGGCTATATTCTGATTAGCCATGGTCTAATTGGCTGACTGACTGTGTTCTTATTGGCTGTGCACTGACTGACTGGCCCCGTTTTCTGACTGTATTCTGATTGGCTGAGTACAGATTGTGCTCTGACTGTCTGTATTCTAGTTAGCGATGTTTTGGCTGTGTATTGATTGTGCGCTGATTGGCTTTGTTCTGACTGACTGTGTTCTGATTGGCTGTTCTGACTGAATGTTTTATTATCTGTTTACCGAATGACTGGCTATGTTTTCTGACTTGCTGTGTCCTGACTGACTGTATAGATTAGCTGTGTTCTAGTTGTCTGTTCTAACTGAATGTTTTATTATGTTCTGATTGGCGGTGTACTAACTTACTGGTGTCTGATTGGCTGTGTACTGATTGTGTTCCGATTGGCTGTGTTGTGACTGACTGCGTTCTGATTGGCTTTGTTCTGACTGAATGTTTTATTATCTGTTTACCAAATGACTGGCCACGTTTTCTGACTGTGCATTGATTGTGTTCTGACTGTCTGGCTGTTCGAAACCACCTACTACTCAGTAGGTACTTCATTTGAATTTAAACGTTCTGCTCGGCCGTTTGAAAAGTAGGCGCTATACAGTGTGAATGTGATAAGTATGAATGGAATTCGGACATACTACATCTGCCATTTTGTCATGGTCACGTGACCTACGTGTGTCAGTTGCGTCACTTAACTTCCATTCATGAATTCTCTCGCGGGGCATTATGGGATAGCGCAGCGTGCATGGGATGCACACTCCAGAATCTTGCCAGAAGTATGAAGTCATCCCGGTACTTCTCGCATACTGATTGTCGAATTCTATGAATTCGGACATACTACTTGGCTCGCATACTGATTTTAGCATGCTGTATAGTATGGAAGTATGCGGTTTCAGATGCAGCCTCTGTGTACTGACTGACTATGCTCTGATTAGCTGTGTTCTGATTGGTAGTGTAGTGATGTTTTCTTTAGTTGTGATCTGACTGACTGTTCTGATTGGTTGTCTACTAACTGTGGTCTGATTGGCTGTATTCTGGTTGGCTGTGTTCTGATCGGCTGTGTTATTTTACCCTTTTACCGACTGACTGGCCAAGTTTTTTTGACTGCATTCTGACAGACTGTGAACTGATTTGTGTGTCTGTCACACACAAATGGTTGGCTGTCTGCCGACAGGCTGTGCTCTGATTATCCATGTTCTGATTAGCTGTGTTCTGATAGGTTGTAATTTGATTAGCAGCGTTCTAATTGGTTGTTTTCTCTTTAGCAGTGTTCTGATTGGCTGTGTCAGGATAGGTCGTGCTTTGATCAGCAGTGTTATGTTTTGCTGAGTTCTTATAGGTCATACTTTGATTTGCAGTGTTCTGATTGGCTGTGTTCTGTCTCCTGCAGGAAATTGCACCAGCAGTTTGAAATGTACAAAGATCAAGTGCAGAAGATGGGTGAGGAGGCTCAGAGCGGCCCGGAGCAGAAGAGCGATGCTCCTACCTGCGGAATCTGCCATAAAACCAAGTTTGCCGACGGCTGTGGCCACCTCTGTTCTTATTGCCAAACCAAGTTCTGTGCTCGCTGTGGAGGAAGAGTTTCACTGCGCTCTAACAAGGTACAGACTTGTGGTACACAAACCCTGCTTTCAGCTGGACCTCAGCTACTCTCTGTAAAATGGAATATGCGGCCAAATTGTTTACAAAATAAACAAAAACATTTGCTTAGACATATTTGATGAAACATGCTTTTGTAACTGATGTAGTGTTACTGAGGATTTTATTTGCGGGCTGTAACTGAGGAGGAAAATGTACAAATTGGTGCAGTTTCTGATATTAATATGGACAAAAACTAAATGCTTTTAATATAGATAAATGAAGTTATTTTTAGAGTGTAACAGATGTATGAATAAAAGTTGTATAAATATTACTTATTATTCTATATTTTCCATATTTTAAGGGTAGAAGATGCATGCATAAAAAGCATATAGATATTAGTTATTATTCCAAATTTCCCCCCAAAAAGTTATTATTCTATAGGTGCTCAACTTGAGGGCAAAAATTTACAGTTTGGTGCAGCCTCAGATAATAATACTGCCAAAAAGTAAGGTAAATCCTCGCAATATAAAGAAATGAAAATGTTTTTAACATTTTATCAGATGCATGAATACATATCATATAAATATTAGAAATTATTCTGTATTTTAACTGTGTAGAAGATGCATGCATAAAAATTACAAATATGAGTTAATATTCTATATTTCTCTGGTTTAAGTGTAGCAGAGGCATGCATTATATATATATATATATATATATATATATA